CGCACCCGCCCGTCTCAAGTGGGTCCCGCCCTGCGTTCCGCCAGGGAGGGGGCGGAGCCGAGGGGCTGGCCTGAAACCTGGAGGAGGGAAAGGGGGAGGGGCAGTGTCCGCAGTGGCCCGGGAACCCAGCGCCCCCGTCGTGGGCTCTCGGTCTCCACGAGGGGCTTTTGTGCAGTCACCCAGTCGGGAGGGAAGGATCTGAGAGGTTAAAGATAGGCCGGGTGGGGGTGAGGCGGGACTTAAGGGATTGAGGAAGGGGGGGTCCCGGGAGGGGCTATAATCAGGTCAGTGCCCCGGGAGGTAGGGGGAGGGGAGCCGCCAGGCCTTGGCTCCGGCTCCTACGCCCCTCCCCGACTCCGAGGGCTCGGGGGAGTGGGGGCTGCGGGCACTGTGCATCCCTCCCCACGCGTGACGGCGCCCCGCGGGGAGGGAGTGGCGCCTTGGGCCAGCAGCCTCTGCGCCCCAGCCGGTGCCCGCTGCGGCCTTGGCATTGTCGGAGGGGAGGGGCTGGGGCAGCAAAGAGGGAGGGGGAGGCGCGCTCGCGCGGTTGCTCCCCGCCTCCATTCCGCCTGCTCCCTAAGTGGAGAAACTGAGTCTCCGCGAAGAAGGGACCTCTAGACCGGGATTCATTCCGAGACCCCGGTGGCCAGGGGAGCCTGGGCGTTTCCAGATGTGTGTGGGGGGCGGGGTACGGTACGTCCTCGACGCCCCCGCCGGTGAAGAAGGAGCCTGGGGGAACGCGTCCAGCAGTGGACTCGTCCAGCGGCGCCCGCCGCGCTCTGTACCCGGACGGCCCCTCCCACTGGTGTAAAACGGAGTCAAATCCTGCTACCGCGAGCCAGGTTCCGTTCCCCGCAGCCGGCCGAGCCGAACCGGGGCCGAACCCCGGCCGACTCCCTCCCGCTTCCCCAGCCCCCTCCGCGGGGGGCCTCCCTCCCTTTCCAGCAGGTGGCTCCGCGCGACACCAGCTCAACCTGTTGGACCACAATGGGCGGCGCCAGGGGGCCCTGGCCCTCACCCTGGCTGACCCGGGATCCCCGCGCAGGGGGAGGGGCGGAGTCCCGGGTCCTCCCTCCCTCTCCGGCCGTGACTCAGCCTCGGGGCCGCTACCCTGCGCCCCAGCCAGGGGCGGAAAGTGTGAGGCGCTCCTGAGGGCCCGGGCCAAGCCAAACAGCCCCCCACCTCAGACATTATCTCACTGGAGAATTAGGGGGGCTGTAGGAAGGAGGGGGTAGCAGCAGGCCTGGGGCGCTCCCGCTCGTAAAGTCCGCTCCAGGTTTTTCTATCGTCCCTGTTCCCCTTGGGCCCTGCGGCCGGTCACTGCTCCGGGTTTTCTTCTCGGCCCCGCCGGACTGTCCAGTCGTTGAGCGCCGGGAGCGGCGGGGTCCAGGCCAGGGTTTCTCCCTCCCTCTCCTGCCGTCGGGATCGCGCTGGCCTAGGGAAGAGTCGTGCTGGGGGATAGACGCAGTGCCACGGAGAGGGGGCTGCTGCTTGGAGGAGGGGGCAAGGCCCAGGCAAAGGAGGGCGGGAAGGTGGCTCTGGCAGGGGAGAGCCTGGGTGTCCAGAGGCAGCCCAAGGGCGGACGCCTTGGCACCAGACCCTAGGTACGGAGAAACGAGGGGCGCCCCGGGCCTCTGGCCGCCCCGTCCACCCTCGCCTAGGGTCGTCTCCGGAGTCTTGCTGGACTCGGGCTGGACCTGCCAGCAGCGGGACCTAGAACCTCCTGTCTGTTCCTCCGCGACAGCCTGCCCCGCTCCCGCCAGCACCCACGTTTCTCTTCTCGTCCATACAGCTTCCTTGCAGGCGCAGAAGTCGGAGGGGGGATCCCCGACTCGAAATTCCCGCCTTCCCTCTAGCTCCTAGCTCCTGGTAGCCCAGAAAGCCCGACTGGGTGCTGCGCCCCCTTCCAGGAGCACTCCCCACCCCCTCACCCCCCACCCCGCCCCCAGCGGGGCCCCAGGGGGCCTGCTGCCACCCCCGCCCTGCCACCAGGCCGGGACTGGCACCGAGGTCTGCAGGGCAGGTGTGGGGCCTACAGGGGCCTCCCGGGGAGGGGGCGGGCATCCCAGATTCGCACATGCAGACCTAAATCTCAGGCGACCAGCCAGCCCTTAATTTTGAGGGGAACGTCACAGGAGATGGGTAAATCCCGGAAAGTGAGACGTGCTTGACGGTGCGAAGGATGCCAGCCCGGGCTGGGAGTTCATCCCTCCTCGCTAGGGCTGTGTACCTGGGGCCGGGGGCGACGGCTCCGGTGACAGCCAGGTGTCGGACTGGCCACGTGCGCTCAGGGACAGCTGCAGGACAGTTAGGTGTTTGCAGAGCGCGCTTCTGGAGGAAGAAGGTCTGGGCTGTCTGGGCAGGGTCCTGAGTGAGTGGGTCTGGGGGCCTGTGTTGGAAGTTGGGCGGGGGTTGCTGAACTAGAAGCCGAGCGTCAGCTTGCCCTGGGCGCCCACCTCTTCCCCGCTCCCCCCGCTGCCCCGGCTGCCTCCGCTTCCCTCGAAAAACCCGCCGCCCAGGAAACCGCTGGGGGCGCTCAGACCGCAGCACCCCCCCGCTCGCCGCCCCCCGGCGCCCCCACCGCGACCGCCCAACCCACCTGAAGGGGCCGTGGCTGCCAGGGTTGCCCCTCCCGCCGACTCCCCCCCCACACCTGCGGGCGCACTATTTATAACCCAGCGCCTATTCCGGGCCTCTGGGCGGGAGCCGGCTGCGCCTCAGCGCTAATCATCTCCGGGATCTCTGCGCCCCTCAGGGCCGGGGGAGATAAATTTAGCCTCAGGAAGCTCGGGGAACAATTTCCAAAACTCCACGTCCCGGAACAGGCGAAACAGAACCCCTGCGCCCTCGGCCTCGGAGGGGCGGCCAGCAGGCGGCGCAGGTGCCGCGGCCCCGCGAGCCCGGCGGAGAAGCCGGGGCTGGTGGAGGACGCGAGGGTCGGGGGGCGGCGGCTCCGGCCGGGAGGGGCCGGAAGGACGCGCAGGGCAGGCTGTACAAAGTCTTAGCTGGGAGTAACCGAGAAAGGGCTTGGGGACTTCTGCCCTTCGAAGGGGAAATGACTGCTATGCAAACGAGATGCAAATAGGAACGCCAGGAAGCGCTGGTGCCCTTGGGGGTCTGCGCTCCCGCGTGGGTGAAACCACGCCGCACCCCTCCATCCCTCGGCTTCGGGGCGTTGCAGGGAAAACGCGGGCCCCTACCAAGATAGTTAGTAAAATAGCTGGTTTAGTGCGCGCGGCTCACAGACCCTGTGGCCAGGACCCCTGTCCTCTACTTCCCTTTGGCACACCATGTCCGCCGGAATCCGCTGGGAATCCTGGCTGTCAGGCCGCTCCTCCCAGGGCTGTCGCTTTTAGGGGTCCCTTTCAACTTCGCGGAGGCTCAGGCCCGGTTTTATCCCTCCCTTCCCCTACCTCCATGTGGCCACTAGAGGGCGCCCGGGCGCCCGGGGTTAGATCTTCCCTACCCCTCCCCTCTTCTGCCGCCCACGCCCTGCCCTGAGCTCCTGAGAGTGGTTTGGACACTCCAGACCTGAGCTTACCCTCGCTCTTTTTCCCTTGGAGAGGAGTGGGCAGGTGTAGAGCAGGAAACCATCTCCTGGCTTGTGTGGACGCCCACAGGAGCCGGGGAAAGCAAGTACAGGAGCTGTGTGGAAGTGAAGTGGAAGTGGGGGTCACCAGGTGGGTGCAGATCATGGCACTGGTCCTCTTCATGCATGGCCTTCCTGGCCCCATCTCCCAGGCACCGGTTCAGAAGAGGAAGGCTGGCCAGTGGAGAAAAACCCTGGACTTGAGATGAGGAAATCTAGGTTCACCGCCTGACCACCCCATTGCAGTGTGCCCTGGGCATGACCTTGGATGGGTCGCTTTTCACCTCTCTGGGCCCATTTTCTTCAAGGTGGCAATGACTGACTGCCCTCGCCCTGCCGCCTTGCAGAGTGGGCCTGCGTAAGTCTGCAAGTGTGTTGTGGAGTGAGGAGGGCTTTCAGAGGGTGCACAAGCTTTTCATTATTCTCCCACCCTCTCCTCAGCCTCTCCACCTTCAGGACTCTCTTGAAAGTTGACCCTGTCCATGGGCCACCTCACGTCACTCCCCTTTGCCCTCTTTCAAGGTCCCAGGCCCCGCCCCCTTCCATCCACCACTGCCCGGGTGCTCTTTCCTGGACGTCCCCACCCCTGGCAAAGGCCCTTGGACTCAGGACCCTCAGACTCCAGGATCCACCTGCAGGTGCCATCCCAGCTGGTGGCTAGAAAGGAAAAGGAGGCAGAAGGCCAGAGCTGGAATCAGGGTGGGGCTCCCCAAGCAGGGTTCAGGCTACGAGGGGGAGGTAGGAGCTCCATATTCATGTGGGAAGGTGAATTATGTGCCTCCTCCACTGCTAACTGCTCTGGTTGCATTGAGGACTTTACCCCTTCCCATTGCTGTGCTCTGGGGGTTAGGTGGGCTCAAGGGACCAGGAAAGAGCACTGACTTGATTTTGTGGGGGCCTAAGGAGGGTGGCTAAGCTGCTGAGGTGAAAAATCACCTTGAGGTACACCTGGCTGGCTCAGTTGGTTGAGTGTCAGGTTTTTGGTTTTGGCTTGGGTTATGATCTTGGATGCGTGAGGTCGAGCCCGCGTTGGGGATACTTGGGATTCTCTCACTCTGCCTACCCATTGCCCCCTCCCACCCCACCGCTTACGTGCATCCTCTCTCTCTCTCAAATAATCTTTTTTAAAATAAATGAGGAGTGGAGCACTGTGGAGTACTGTGCTACTGCCAGAAGGATGGGGGCAGGCTCCACGTGTACTGATAGGAATCCTGTATGGGCCATGCAGAGGGAGGGATATGGGGCCGTGTGGAGAGCGTGTTGTCAACTCACAGAGTGCCTGGCTGGCTCAGTCTGGGGAGTGTGTAACTCTCTCACTCTCTTTTTAAGCAGGCTCCACACCCAGCATGGACCCCAATGCAGAGCTTGAACTCAGAACCTGAGATTAAGATCAAGAGTCGGACGCTTAATTGGGCCACCTAGATGCCCCAAGTGTGTGACTCTTGATCTTGGGATTGTGAGTTTGTGTCCCACACTGGGTGTAGAGATTACTTAAAAAAATTTTTTTTCAAAGATTTTATTTATTTATTCATGAGAGACACAAAGAGAGAGAGAGGCAGAGACACAGGCAGAGGGAGAAGCAGGCTCCATGCAGCGAGCCTGATGTGGGACTCGATCCCAGGACTCCAGGATCATGCCCTGAGATGAAGGCAGATGCTTGAAGGCAGATGCTTTAATTGTTGAGCCACCCAGGCATCCCCCACCCCCCCAAAAAAAAGCTTAAAAAAAAAAAAAGAATGTGTATGCATTCAGGCCAGCCCCTTCTCTCCACCACTATAGCTAAGACACCTGCTCTGAGCCCCTGACATGTTGGCCTCCTGATGGTGCTCTCCCGTCCCACCCTTGCTCCTTAACGTCTGTTCTCAACACAGTAGCCAGTGTGAACACCTTGCAGTGGCGTTTTCATTTCACTTGGCATAGAGCTCGGCCCTATGTCCCCTGGCTTAGAGGCCCTCAAGGACCTGGCCCACAATCTGGCCCAAACCACCCCAGTCAACTTGTCCTTTTTTCCATACACCTATCACCTAATAACATCTCTACACTTATTTTATTTGTTTCTATTTTATTTTCTGTATCTGCCCACGAGAATATAAGCTCTGTGAGTACAGGGGCCTATTGTGCTCCTGCTGCGTTCAGAGCGCCCAGACCAGTGTGCAGTGGATGCTCAATGACATTTGTTACATGAATGAACGCATGGAGATGCAGTATGTGTGCAGACTATCTCTGGAATGTTCTCCAGGAGCCTGGCAAAGCTGACTAACTCCTGGGCAGAGAGGTGGGGGCGGGGGGGGTGGGAGACTCAGTTCTCACCAGCATAGGTCCTCACTCGTCTTTACAAAAGGAGGTGTATGTCATCTTTACAAAAGGAGACAAAACATGCCCAGAAAAACTGAGTTAACTCAGAAGTTGGGGGGGAACTGGTCTCTGGGAGTGGGGAGAGTGCCTGGTATAGCATCCCCAGGCCTGAGCCCCAGGAGAGGAGGGGGAAACAGCCAGCCCCAAGAGGGCCCGGGGCATGTGAGCTCAGGCTGGGGTGGGGGGTGTGCGTGGGCCATGAGGTCTGCTCAGCTGGTGCGTACCTACCCCCAGGGTGTCCTTCAGGGAAGCATGTTGGTGGCTGCCTGGGGGAAGTGGAGCACCTCTGTACATTCTGGCTGCTTGTGCCTGTGCTCTGTGCTAAGCCCGAGGCCACCCAGGTCCAGGTCTTTTCCCAAGATCTCCAGAGGCAGGCAGCGGGCCAGACCAGGTTTTGGATTTGGGTTCCCAGCCCCAGGCACAGGACTTCATAGACCCCACCCAAGCTGGATCCCTCCCTACCCACCAGGCCTTTCCACCCTCCACCTTTCCCACCCAGGTATCAGTGAGTCAGAAAACCTGGTTTTCAGTCTCAGCTCTATCCAGGACAACCTCCTTCCCTCCCTGGTCTGTACTCTGGCTCCAGACCCTTCCAGGACTGAGTTTTTCTGACATTTAGGACTTGAGGCCTCAAGGCCTATTTATTTTATATGTGTATACACACACACACACACACACACACACTTCATTGATTCTCAAACACAGATATTAGGGGACAGGGGACAAGCCCATTCCTGGCACTGAGAGGATGGAAAAATCAACCATCTGGGCTGGTGGGCTCCCTGTGCCAGGCCTGGAGAGGGGCCAGGTCCTGCAGCAGTCTTCCTGGGGTCGCAGCCAGCAGGCCAAGCTCCCGTGCCCCGGAGGTCTACTGGAGGTAGGTGCGGGGAGCGGAGGCCTAGGGACGCAGGACTGGCAGACAGACGGCACAAACTGGAAGCAGGACGCATATGTCACTCGATGCTGTGGCCCATCCTTGGCCAAGCAGCTGGTCCTGGGAGTCCTGCTGGGGGCCAGGCTGGGTGCTAGAAGAGAGAAGGGGAAGCTGAGGGGCAGGCTTCAACACAGTGGGGTAGCCAGGCCTCCTGTTTGCCCTGCCTCCCTACCTGAGCACCGCCAGCTGCCAGCCTCAGGGAGGTTGTCCCCCTGTCAATCCAGCAGCTCTTTGATACACCAGCAGCAGAGGATGATATAGGCAAGTTCCTTCAGGGTCTGCTGCAGGCCCTCCCACCCTGTGCCCAGCTTCATGACAGGCACCCGGAGACCAGTGTCTCCCAGGGCTCGTCTGAAGGAGAAAGGCAGGGTGTGGGCCAGGGGCTGTGTCTGGGGCTGCATGTGGCCAGCAGCTCTGAAGCATGTGGGAGCCGCCTCTAGTGCCTTTTATCCATGGCATCCCCACCCCCCAGACCTCATGACTGTGGGGACAAAGGCCCCGGGGTCTAGCACAGGGAAAGTTCTGGGCCCCAGAATAGGCTGAGTCAGCCTCCCTGGACAGGGATGGAGGCTGGGCTGAGGAGGCGGAGGAACTGGCCACCCCATCTTCCAGCCCCCCACCAGGCTCACTTCCCTTCCTCCAGCCTGGGTCTGGAAACTGGGGCCCTGCCATTGCCGCCTCCTCCCCCAGTGGCTGCCAGGACTCCACGCTCCTGCCCTCTCCTGTCCTCGGCAGGCTCCTACTGGGGCTGGCCTTCAGAATCACCAATGGGAGTGCCTTTCCAGTCTGTTCTGCACAAGCCCCCACCCCTGGCCCCACTGACTTGACAGGCAGAGCCTGGCCCATGTCTACCTTTCCCATCCCCAGAGCAGGAAGACACAGCCACAGCATCAGCCCAGGAGAGGCACGGTTTATTGACAGGTTACACCCCAGGAAGGCCTCCCTCCCAGCTCCTGGAGCGGATGAGTGCGAGGTCATGTGCGGGAGTTCCGCTCCTCCTCTTCGTTCTCAAGTAGGTAGGCAGGACGGTAGGTGGGCTGTCCCCCTGGGCTCAGGCACTTCAGGGCCGGGTTCCTCACCGTGTTCTCCCGGCCCCCCAGGGACGTGTAGCTGAACCGGGAGAATGGAAGCAGGTGGTGGGTGGCTCTCCCTACCCCACATCCCCCCCACACCCACACTCTCCCAGCACTCTTACCCTCGGTCATATAGGATGCAGTACGGGACAAAGAGCTGACGCAGGAAGTCCCAGATGTCTCTATAGGTCCAGTCCTGGGAGGTAAGAATATAATCACCCATACCCCCTTCCCACACTTAACCCCTGCCACCTGGGGAGGGGTCCTTCCTAGGGCTCTTCTGCCTCTCAGCCTGATTCTCTGCCACAGTTTGTTCCTATAAGCCACGCCACATGCAAGACCAAGCCTGCATCCTGGCCCCACCAGCCCCAACCCACAGGTGTGTGTGTGCCAGGGCAGGGACGGGCTGTCTGTGCAAGCCAGTATGGTGCAGCACACATTGTGTGGTCATGGAAATGGTCTCTAACTGTGTTGTCTGACATGTGGACACCTGGAACATGGTTAGTGCAACGGAAAAAGTGAATTTTGAATTGTACTTAATTTTTAAAATGAAGAGTTAATTCACATGCCACAGAGCCACAGAATTCTTCCTTCTAAAGTATACCATTCAGTGGTTTTTAGTAATTTCCTATTTTGTTCTAGTAAGTGACAGTCTGAGTATAGTAAGTGGCTAGTGGCCACCACCACACTGGACAGCACAGAGCTGGCAAAAGAAAGCACAAGCCTGCCTTTAAATCAGTGCTAAATAAGGCCTGGTCAGAAGGCTGACCCACCAAGCAGCACAGCCTCCCCTGGACGCTGGGGTTCTACATCTGAGCACCCGGCTCCGACTTCTCCCACACCCAGAAGCCAGGGTGCATGACCCACAGGGATCAGGGGACTGGGCTGGAGGCACCACAGCCTCTACCCCGTTACCAGCAGCGGGTTGACACGCATGAAGGCAGGCCAGCCAGGGTCAGTGGGGCTGAAGGGGCAGAGGCTGCAGGAGTAGGGGTCCGTGCGGCGCGTGCCCATCAGGACAGCCTCCAGTTGGGGGTGCCGCGCCTGCAGCTCGCTCAGGGCCTGCTTCATGTCGCCCTCAGCCTCCAACACCTGTAGATTATACCTGTGGAACGAAGAGGGCTGGGGGTCAGAAGTGGGCACTGCCAAGCTCCCCTGGAGCCTCCACCCCCAGGCCCCTAGTACCTCTTGATGGTATCCTGGAGGAACTGCTCCAGCTCGGGAAAAGGGGAGATGCTGCGGATATACAGGATCTGCAGGGGTTCCTGAGCATCGGGGCATTTCCTGGCGGGGGGGGGGGGGGTGTGGAGGAAGGATGCATAGGCTTTTGGGGAAGGCAGGGAGATGCTTGCTCGAGCTTGCACTGTTCTCCTTGGTCCCCGGAAGGACCCTTATCTTTCTCATCCATGACAACCAGTTCCTATGTAAAGCCCATCTTGTAAAGCTCCTTGGTCCTGGAGCACACAGCCCATCTCAGGTATGTAAATCTCACCTCCCCAACAGGACTGTGAGCTCCCTTCACAGCCACACATCCAGGGCTGCACCATGGCAGCTGCTTGATAAATGTGGTGGGGGACCACAGCTGAGAGGTCACCAGGGCTGCTTCCTCCCAACCCCATTTGCTGGCCCCCTTCCCCTGCCTGCCTGGGGCCACCAGAGCACCTGTGAGGGCTCAGCCTGGGGTGCAGGCTCACCTCTGCACGGCCGCATGGAGGAGGTGCAGCAGTGCGGTGCAGTCCTTGCCGCCATTGAAGCCCACACAGAGGTGGGTGAGGCCATACTGAGCCAGGGCAGTCTCGATAGTCTGCAGGGCACCTGCCACCTTCTTCCCCAGGGAAGACTCTGCAAGCAGACACACGAGAGGCCATCACATAGATACACGTGGCTGGTGGAGGGCGGTGGGGGCCACGCTGCCCTTGGTTAGTCTTTCTTGACTTCCAGTGTGTGTTGTGTAATGTCCAGACTCCTGCACGCCCCTTGGAGTGTGCCCCCCTGGGCTGTTCAGCTCACTCTTCACCCCAGTGTCTTCCCTCTGGGGGCCCTGGTTCCCTTCCCCAAGCCCCACACTATTTGCTCTCACCCAATCTGGCTGACCACCCCACATGTATGTTACTTGCCCAGTAGACTGTATCTAGTAGATGCTCAGATCAGGGCTGCCCTACCCGCTGTGGAGGCCCCATGGCATCCCCATCTCCTGCCCAGGCACCTGTGTGACGCCCACCTCTCTCGTTATGCTGGGCCTCTGAAGGGCACGGCGTACAACTGTCTTGTTGGGGTACAACCCTCACACCCAGCATGGTGCTGGTGACAGTCGGCACTCAGTCTACACTTATAGGAGCCATCTTCCACCCGCTCCTGGACTTTCAGGAAGCCTCCAGCAGCCCCCACATTCCTAAGCCCAGGGAGGCCCCCCCTAACCCAGGCCCCTACCTGACTCTGACAGTTTGTATACGGCCTCACTGGCCTGCTGCACAGCATCGGGCACATAGGGGACCAGCGACCCCGGGGGAAGATGGGCAGTCAGGTAGGCCAGGCATTCTTCCAGGGGCCCTTCCTCCTCCGAGTCCAGCATCAGCTTCACCTGATAGTAGTTGCTGCCCCAGTCAGGGTAGGAACCCAGGCCAAGCTTGCGCCCAAAGTGGGCCTGGGCCTCAGCCAGGATGGGGGCGATAGAGGCCTCATCAGCGGCCACATAGAGCTCCCGCAGGTGGAACTGCACAGCTGTGTTTTGGAACAGCCCCTTTAGCCCCTCCAGCACCCTCCTCAGCAGCTCGGGAATGCCTGGGAAGAGGTAGACGTTTCGGACAGAGACCAGCGGGAATTTGAAGGGCTGGCCCGTTTGAGGATCTATGCCGTAATGTAGGCGGGCAGAGGAGGGCACCAGAGACAGCTTCTCCCAGCCCTTCCCTCCTAGGGCTTTGATGGCTGCTTCCAGCTCGGGGTGTGGTTTAAGCTCATCCCCGAAGGCCTGTGCTACAGCCTCAAAGGTTACGTCGTCATGAGTGGGGCCGATGCCCCCTGCTGTGAGGACGTGGGTGAAGCGACTGGAGAAAGAAGTGATCTCGGCTGCAATCGTGGTGACCTCATCAGGGACAACAGAGACGCGGCACACCTGGACCCCCAGGGAGCGCAGTGTCCGGCACAAAAAGTAGGTGTTGGTGTCCTGAGTGTGTCCCTGGGAGAAGAGATGGTGACAGTGAGTATCAATGCGGTGGGGATGAAGGGCAAAGGGGAAAGGGTGACAGCTGCATTTTCCCGATGGTGGGGCACTGTGCTCTTTGGGGGGTACTGTCTTGGGCTGCCAAAAAGCCTGGACTGGGGGATCCCTGGGTGGCGCAGCGGTTTAGCACCTGTCTTTGGCCCAGGGCGCGATCCTGGAGACCCGGGATCGAATCCCACATCGGGCTCCCGGTGCATGGAGCCTGCCTCTCCCTCTCAATCTGTGTGACTATCATAAATAAATAAAAATTAAAAAAAAAAAAAAAAGCCTGGACTGGGCACAGGAGTGAGAAAATCCAGCTGAACAGTCAGGGGTAGCATGATCCACCCTGGGCCTTCTTTGCATTTGAACCTTGACCTCAGATATGCTTATGGATTCCATGGCCAATTCTATTGTGGATGACTCATCCACTACCTCACCAGTCCTGCCAGTTTCAATCCTCCGGCTCCCGGCACTTACTAGGCATTTCTACCATATTCCTGGCTGTTGTCACTTTGGTTAGTGGCATCCACAGACACTGTCCATAGCCAGTTGGGCACTTTTGTTGTCAACTCTATTGAAATGTCTCCCCACTTCTGCTCTTTGTCCTTACTACCACCATGCAGGTCTTTGGCACCTTTTATCTGGACAGTGGTGACAGTCCCTGGCCAGGCTCCCAGCCTCCAGCCACAGTGCTCTGCCCCAGGCCTCCTGACTAACCTTTCTAATGTGCTACTGTGATTGCACCACTCTTGGGCTCAAAAGCCATGTGTTGTTTCCAACCATATTCTGATTAAAGTTCAAATTCCTTTGCAGAATATTTGAGGCTGCCTGTCTATGGGTGTAGATCTGACGCTCTTCCCTGGCCCCATCTCCTTCTTCTTCTTTACAGGGGGCTTCGTAGGTAAGGGTTGCCCTGGAGGAAGAGAGAATGGGCTTGGAATCCCAGCTCTACCACTCCTGAGCTCTGTAATCTTGGGCAAACTTCTCAGTCTCATCATCTAATAACTGAGATTTATAATAAAAGTATCAAATCTCATGGGAATGCTCTAAGGATTAGTTAAGACCGCGTATTGATATAATAAGCACACTGCCAGGCCTCAGTAAGCATTCAAAAAACGGGTCAAAATTAGTTATTGCAAGCCTGATGCCATGACCTCTCTTAAGACTTCCCTCATTGTTCCGAGGGATTTCCTCCATCTAGTCCTCTCCTGTTTTGCTTACTCATGCACTGCACCTCCTTCACGGGATGGACTCCCGCTGGTTCCTGTAAAGCCCTCCTACCGCTATGAAAATGCTTGGCAAATTGTAGCAACTTTGCTGCAAGTTTTCAACAGAGTAACTGGAAGAACATGTTGGACCCACTACAGGGACGTGGTGGGCAAGGGGGCGCCCCCGGTCGGCCTCCCTCAGCAAGGTGCAGCAGGCTCTAGAGGACGGGCGGTGCCCACCCCCCCTCTCCGTCCCAGACACACCTTGAGGATCTCATCTCCAACAATGATGATGCCCGCCGTCACGCTGCGCCCTGGGGGAGGTGCAAAGGCCCTAGATGCCATGGTCCTGCCTTCTCTGCCCCTCTGCACGGCCCTCCAGTAGCCACCCAGGGCCCCAAATAGGGGTCGGAAGCAGGGGAGTCGCGCCAGGTCTACAGGGCACTGGGGGCCATAGCCTGAAAACAGGGGGGTCTGGGGTCAAGGGAACCTGGAGGAGCCAGAAGGGACACGGGGAGGGCATGAGGGCACGCTCTTTCTCAGAGAAAGACCTCGCCAGGCCCCTGACAAGACTTTAATCCTTGCCTCTAAGAATTGCGTTCTCAAACCCCAGCCCCGGCCTCTTCGCATGCCTTCTAAGCTCGGCTACAGTGTCCTTAAAATGTCCTGCTCTCCGAGCACCCACAGCCGAGCGCGGCCACCTGCACCTTTAAAGACCTCTTCTCTTCGGGGCACTTGTCCCTTTAAGCGTCTCGCCCCCTCCGCCCGGGACTGGAGCGCAGGCGCCCCTCCCTCAGGCGCCCCTCCCTCAGGCGCCCGCACCCCTTCTGGCCGGAGCCCCGTCTCCCCGCCCCGCTGCAGCCCGCCACGCTCTCCCAGGTCCGCACCTGCCTCTCGGGCCCTTCCCCGGCTCGTGCCCTCTGCTCCCGCACGTCCCGAGCGACCTCCGCACGCAGAGTCCCACCCCAGACCCGTACCTTCTCACGGCGGTTGGTCACCGTGGCTGTCGCTCAGACGGCCTCCAAGGGCCCATTGGTGCAGCTGGCTGTCGCTCGCCCGCCTTAGCCAGGGGGCGGGAGCAGCGCCGGTTGCTATCGGCGACAAGCACGTGGTCACCACCCGCCCGGAACTGCGGGGGCGGGACCAGCGGGCTTGGTGCGGGGGGCGGGGCCAGCGGCAGTGGTGCGAGGCGCTGCTAGTAGCTGCGAGCGGAGGCGTGACGCTCGCCTCCATCCCGTTAATACATCCTCGCGCGCAAATGCTATGGGGCGCCCACTCTAGTTCTAGGCACTGGGGCTGCCCAGGGCTTCGGTAGCGCGCGCACGTTGGAGACACCAGCAAGGAACACCTTGGAAGGTAGGAAGAACTTGGAGGTGAGCTTTTAGGGTGTGGAGCGCTCATACCCCTCTATAAAAACGATGCACCTACATACCTGACCCCTGCCTTGCTCCACAATGTGGTCTGAACACCACCTTTGCCCGATTATTGGTCTTACAGGTAAAGTGAGGACAGTGACTAGGCAGTGCCTTGTGTCCACTTTGGAGTCTCACATCATCCTGGATTATTCTCATTTCAGTTGCTTTTGGTCTAAAACTGCTTAAATTTTAATGTTTTGTCCGGGATCTTTTTATAAAAAATATAAGTCCTTCCTGTGCCCAAGGTGCAGCTTGAATTCACTACCCAGAGTTGCATGCTCCACGGACAGAGCAGGCCAGGTGTTCCTATCTGGGACCTTCCTAATATGCTGATTAAATTTCCCCTATTCAGTTGGGGTGGGAGCCTGAGATCTGCATTTAACAAACTCTCGAGCCATGCTGATGCTGCTCCGGGTCCCTAGAGTATGTTTCCTGTAGTAAACATCTAAAATCCATCACTTGGAGAGCAGTTGAACCACATCCACCCTCATTTTACTCTTCTAAAGCCCAAGATAGATGATGCCCATTTTACAGATGGGCAGCAGGCTAAGAAAGGTTAAAGGATGCCACATAGCAACTACAAAACACTAATGTGAAACAGCCAGGCTTCTAGACCATTCTTTCTTAAGTAATAAACCCTGTGTGTGGTTTTTTCAACAACCGCCAAGAGTTGCATGCTCTTTGGACTGACCCAGCCAGATGCCCCTCAAAAAAAAAAAAAAAAAAAAAAATTGAAAGGCAAAACAAAAGTTCCATTTGCCTAATGATGTAAGTCACATCATCTTTACTAGTAGTATTGGTAAAATCTGACTACCCCTCCCACAAAAAAGCTCTGGTCCAATTCTTTACCAGTGGGTTCTCAAGCTTGAGGGGTCGCCAGGATCATCTGGAGAGCTTGTTGAAACATCACTAGGTCCAAACCTCAGTTTCTGATTCAGTAGGTCTAGGGTGGAGTCCAATAATTGCATTTCTAACAAGGTGCTGGTGACATCAAGCCTTCCGATTCAGGGACTGCAATTGAACTACTGCCGTAGGAATAAGTGGATGGAAGATAGGAAGATTCCTTTATTTAGTACTACTGTTCTCTCCACCCAACATGGGGCTTGAACTCACAACCCAGGGAACTGAGCTGCCTGCTCCACCAATGGAGCCAGCCAGGCGCCCCCTGGAGAAATGTTTTCTTAAAATACAGCTTACACCTGTTTTCTCAAAGGTTAATCTCCAGCTACCTGCATAAAAATTCTTGAAATTCCCACATCCAGGCCACACCCCCTACCAGTTAAGCATCTCTAAGGAATGACTTAGGTGCCAGGACTAGCCACTAAAAACAGCACAGGCTTCTGCCCACTGCCCTCCTCCCCTACCCCTCACAGGTAACAGGCCTCAGGTAGGCCTCAGACTTAGGCTGGGCAGGAAGTAGAGCACAGGAGTAGCCTCCTCCCTTCACCCTTGTGTGCCCTTCTAATATCAAGACTGTGTTAGGGGCAGCATCCCTGACTTTAGGAAACACTTTGTTTTGATGAGGTGATGTCTCTATATAACCTCTATCTCAGGCTAACAAGGCAACATATATTTCAGATGTTTGAAAGAAAGTCTGATTAAGGGACGCCTGGGTGGCTCAGTGGCTGGGCACCTGCCTTTGGCTCAGGTCATGATCCTGGGATCTGGGATTGAGTCCTGCATCAGGCTCCCTGAGAGGAGCCTGCTTCTCCTTCTGCCTGTGTCTCCCGTGAATAAATAAATAAATCTCAAAAAAAAAAAAAAAAAAAAACTGATTAAATTAAAAGCCAGTTACCTGAATGTTGAAATAAGCCTCATTATCAACAAAGAGCTGAACTTCATTATCTAACCCAAAGGAATATAATCAGAAACAGGATACCGAATGTAATGCTTACATTGAGAGGGAAAAAAAAAAAACACTTTACAATTAAAGAATTAGATTATAAAAAACTTCCTCTTTAATCAAGGCTTTTAAACATGGAACAGATTCCTTGAATAAAATGAAAAGTCTCCAATATATTGAAACATAAACCACCATACATACAACACCTGGCAGGAAAAAAAAACCTGCAAGTTTACACAATCCCCGTGACAGCCATGGCCTATCGTCAGATGCTTCCTCTATGTACCAAGTGTGCTCTGCTGGGTACACAGCTCAGCTGAGGCTGCAGCCCAAAGAGCGCTCAACTGGCCGGGCCATGGTGCTGTTGGCTCTGCTCAAGCAAAACAGCAGCACAAACAGTGTACTGAACATCCTTTAAATATCAAAGTGAGAAAACAAGAAGGCAACATAACGATGTTATCAGGAAGATGTTAGCAAGCGACGACAGCTGTGTAAAGCTTGAGGCTGGAAAGTGGCTGCCAGCTTCATTTCTTCGGCTTCTTGGGCAGTGGCCGTCGGAACAACAAGATGTGAGGTTCTGAAAAAGTGACATTGAAGAGACACGCTCACCCTGGTCTCTGCAGTGTGTAGTGCGTCCCCTTCCCATTTCCCAGATATTACCCCTCAGACCTTTAGAACTACATTAAGATGTAAGCATATGGCCTCAGAAGCAGACCCTAAAGCTGGGCCTGTCTGCTAAGCAGAGAACTATTAGCATCAGTTCCTTTGCTGTGTTTGTACAGCTTCCCCCATCCCCTGCCCACCTCCTTTATTAGATTTGCCTGGCTGCTTGTGGGTCTGGTGTCTTATCAAGAAATATACTTCCCTTGGCTTATTTGGGACACATCTGAGAATTTGCTTTCTCATGGAGAATGATGCAGGATCCATAACCTCTACCAGGGTGTTTGTGGCCTTAAAAAGGGGGACGGGGTGTGTGTGTGATGCTCAGACTGAATTAGAGATTGAAAGAGCTTTTTCAGGGACAGGTTGTCTTCTGAACTTCCCAGTACTTGACTCTTTTTTAGATCACTCTGATTTTTTTTTAATTTTTTCTTTAAAATTTATTTATGATAGTCACACACAGAGAGAGAGAGAGAGAGACAGAGACATAGGCAGAAGGAGAAGCAGGCTCCATGCACCGGGAGCCCGACGTGGGATTCGATCCCGGGTCTCCAGGATTGCGCCCTGGGCCAAAGGCAGGCGCTAAACCGCTGCGCCACCCAGGGATCCCGTCACTCTGATTTTTCTAGGTGGCTGGTGAGGAACCAATAGACCACCCTCACCTCTATTTCTTTGGGTTATACCATCTTATCATTACTCTTTTCCTCAGCCAAGGAACCCTAAATGGTTGTTTTCAGCCATCGCACCGACCTGGTTCATGGATCATATAATGGACCCATCCCTGACTCTGCTGAACACCAAGATTCCTCCATTCAGATTCAGACATCAGATGGGTTTTAGGGACCAGCTTGGCTATGTCCTTGGGCAACATGACATGCCTGTAACAGAAACACGGAGGGATCACATCAGTACTGGGTGCAGTTGTGTTAGACAAATGCTTGTGTACAAAGCCAAGAGAGCAAAGAAAAGAAAAAATTGGTTCCCAATGGGAGAGTTTATGTACTTTTATCACGGGGCAGAGGCAGCTAGAAATAAAGGCCAGATTATGCAAATCGTCCCCCCCCAAGTATGTTAAAAAGCACACGTTAGTGAGTAACTCAAGTGAACAGGCGCTGTGGACACCGCGCCCCTGCCTTCCTCGAGCTCAGTCTGCTAGCTGATTAGAATGATCTAAGGGCAGCCCCACGACACTCACAGCGTTAATTATTAAAGGTAGTTTTGAAAACGGCTGGTTTTGTGGAGAAGAAAGGCCTCTTGTGGAGCGCTGTGAGGAAGAGCCATCACAAGGATGAAATGTGAATATCTTCCTCTGAAATCTACCCTCCATTTCATTTTCCCAACTCTGAAGAGAGTTGCCATGAGACTCCTCTTGGGAAACCCCAGGTTTTCCTAACCAAGGATAAATCTCCTTTCATGGCAAAAAGAATCCTTACTCTCACCTGAGTTGGGCTACTCCAGATAGACCCCATCATGCTCAGTGGAAACACAGTAGGTGTGTACTAGTAGCAAATTCTTTCACAAACAGCGACTTCGATCCCTAATCGGACCCGACCGACGCCCCCAACGCCAGCGCCCGGACTTACAACTTCGGGGAGCTGAAACTAGCTCTGCAGAGGTGGCAGCGCACAGTCAGCGGCGGAAAGAAACCTAAGTGGCCTGGGTCCCCCAAGGGTCAGCACACGCCGAATCCCCGGAGCCCCGCACTTGGCCGGGAAGGAAACGCAAGCCTGCCAAGTCTCCATCCCACGTTCTTCCAGGAAGAAGCCAAAACGGCACGCGGGCAGCATCCTCGCTCTTCCCTGGTACTCCTCCTGGAGGGGCGGCGCTGCCTCCGTCACACCGCGCCCGGGCGCAACTCCCGAGCCTGCGGCGCTGCGTCGCCGGGTCAGACCTTCCCACGAGCCGCAAGCCCGCGCCCCCTTTCCCGGATCGTTCAGCACCGCTGCGGCCACTTCTTTCCAGCACGCCCCAGCGGGCAACCTCCACGTGCCCGGGGAAGCTCCCAAAACGATCCAGAACCCCGCATGGTGCGGGGTG